CTCTTTAAAAATTAAAGCAATTGCCCATTACACCAGGCATCCAAGACGCTAGTGATGGTGTAGAACAAATAAATTCGCTCGGGTTTGATGCATAATGGCGTTTTGTACAGTCGGGTGAGTTGTGTGAGGCCCGAAAGTATGCATCTGTCGAGATGCAGAGGTATTTACCACTCGTTGACCACGTGACGTGTTTATGTGCGGCTCAGGATCCCACCTCTAAGGCTGCACTAAAGTAGCGACCTTCAGATTTACATTGATGTGCTTTTTCCATTAATTATCACCATGTTTTCTACAGTTTTTGTCTTGTACTCTTTTAGATATGTTTTCCTGTTTGACAAAATTCTCCTCTTATGCAAATCGAAGGTGAGTGGAATGTTAAATTTCAGTACTGTGGACAATTTGCGCCCAGTTAATCCCTTAAGTGTTCCTCAACACGTGATAGAACTTATGGTGGTAATAAAATCGACACCTAAACTGTGCTATTCAGTGTTTTCTTTTTGTCCAAAAGAATGTCATAGGGGTTTCGCAATTGACCTGGTCAAAAGCGCATTTCGTTAAACGACAAAAATGGATGGCAGTGCACTTTTCTTCCGTAATCGCCATTTCGAATTTTTTGCAGAGTATCGATTGAACTTTTTACCATCCGTACAGAAAAACTTCGACGTATTTGGCTAAGGTTGCGTTAAAAGTTCAGCACATGTGAATTCACGTCACTCACTTTGTTCCCATTGAAAATTGGCTGTAGTAAATAATGGGTTATTAGACGGATGGGTCGCGTCGCAAAGTTTTAATCTCTGTCCGGATAATACTGCATTATTTTTTTCGGTCATAAACTTTATCATCACTATCGCCGCTCGTCAGCTTATTCCCTTGGCCACCTTTACAGTTCTGTCCGGTTTAAAATATTCCCGAATAGTCTTTGCTTATTTTGACTTTGTTCCCACTTTAAAGTAATTTCACCTTCCTACGAAAATATTGAAATTCGATCGTCATACTATATCAATCACGAATGATTGAACCTTCATGGGTTCATTTGGATGTTTCCAATCCCGACCAATAGCAGTCAAATCGATTTTGCTTCCGTGAAAATAATTATTCCTGAGAAATACCTACTTCTTTAAAATAATCTGCATTTATGTGATCGTTCTTTCGGTTTGATTAAACTTATTCTGAGAGCCATCCTTCGAGTTCTTTGAACCGGCTTGTGAAAATATTTAGACAACGGCATGTATACCGGAACCGCATCATCTCGTAGCTTTTTTTTATTCACGCCCCCGCGATCAATTGCAAGCTCCTCTATCAATCCTGTGTGCATGGCAGTCACAGAACCACCAAAGTATTTTGCGAACTTCCTCAACAGCAACTCCGTAACATGTCATTGTTGAAGCTGTTGTACTCCCTTGTGACAGTGTGTCCTCGCGGGGTGATTTTGCAGATCGTAGGTGAAAGCTGAAGTGGCCACTGTGGCGGAGGTTTATGTAAATGCGTCGTGACTGGACCAAGTCCGCCCAACACTCTGATTGAATTCACCCACAAGTAATCGGGGTTATTACGTTATTTTCACCATATGCGCGCTACATTTATGCCCAATTTCTTTTTTAAAAATCTTGATTTCATGACTTAAGAACTCTTTCTCGTTCCTTATAATGTCGCCCACCTGACGACGATCGTTCAGTCGGCCATATTTAAATTTGCATCGTGGTTTGATGTAGTCCTTCTCTTAATACTTCCTATCCCTCATGTAATGGTGAGCTTTGCCGTCATCTACCAGATGTTTGATTCTCCTCTTTTAATGTTTGACGTTCTCATGAATGACACTATCCTTTTGTCTTTGTCGATTCCTTTCCTAGCCCCGTCGTGTTTCTGTACGAATTTCGCATCTCTTACTACATAACTTGCTCATTTCTTGCCAGGTGCAGGAACACGTTCTTGTCTATCACACTACATATGTTTAAGCCTATCATTGAACTACGTAAACATTGTTATGACTTAGCGCTCTCCTTAAGATGGTCTCTCTCCTTTCTAAAAGTTGCTAATATCGCGCACGCCATGTCCACTAGTTCGTCCCTGTTATCTACTATGAGGATGCTCGGCATAAGCGGGATCTTAACTTTAAACGATTGCGCTTAAAGAAATCGAAAATCTGTGTAGACCTAAACGGTTGTTTCAACACTTACGTTCCCTTACCAGCAGCTCAATTGCTAAGATTCCCCAAGTAATTAGTGACAGCATTTTTTCACTCGTGGCGATTCACAACATCTACCTCACCACTTGAAGGCCCACTCCACCCCATTGCACCCTTGTGTTTTCAGCAGTGCCGTTCTTCCATTATCTGCCGCATCAACTTAGCTGTACTTAATGAGATTTATAATTGTCACGTTTTATCTAACATTGTCATATGTCATCAGCTATTAATTTACTGAGAAATACGTCTTCGCAAGTTGTTTTTACATGGCAAAATTCAGATAAACTAGACAGGGTAAATTTCCCGTCTTGTGAGGCACATGACTGCATTCGTTGTGCTCGTAAGTCATCCTTACATGTAGGCTAAAAGAAGTAAATTAATGTGTACAAGTTATTTACTTTATTTCAACTCACATATTGCGGTGGACTACAAGTCCAATTTATTGTAGAAACACGAGGTGAGTTCATTTGACATTTGGTCGATTGCGCAAGTCAAACCATTACTCTGGACTGTCTTCTGTTGGATAAGTCGCTGCATTTCCCGTTTGGCAATTTATTCGTTGGTCAACCTAAATACGTCATTCATTGTCATTTAGATGATATCATCTGATTTGAACGGACGTCCTTTGACAAGAGAAATATGAGATCGAACAAATTGTTATTTTTTTCAGAATAGGGTCTAGGGGCGTGGGTATCTCACGAAAATGGATCCCGGCAAAAACTTGCCTTCTCTTTACGACTTCTAGTTGATCGTTTCTATGATGAAGGCTAATGCCCTCCCGGTTGGCCAATGGTGGAAGCGTCGTTTGGATTTTAGCTGTATATTTAGAAGTTAGCTGCAGGAACATTTGAAGCTCGAGCAGGCTTGGGAAGCTCGTAGTACAGCAATCCTCGGTGGTCTTGCCAGATGTATAAGTTTAAATTCGTTGGTGCAGTTCCTTCGTTGTTATTTGATTTCCATTTACGGCGCGTCCTTTTAAGAACCGCATCATTACTCTGTCCCCACTTATTATTCCAGGAAATTGAAAGCATCAAAGAGAAATTCCCGTTTTCAGGTAAAATGTTTAGGATGAAATCATAACCGTAAGATTTTATCTTGATTCTCGAGTTACCCTGGCATTGAGACTCATAAGAAGTCTAAAGCTGTTTGGTAAACTTAAACATTTTCATCAATGAACATGTAACTTTTTTGTAATTGTGTCAAATGTATCGTCAAAGTTAACTTACATTGGTATAAGGCATTCAACGAAGGACCACGTACCCAATACTTTAGATCCACTTTTACTGGGCGAATTTCACCAGAGTCAAGGCAATGGAACTCAAGCAAAAAATCCACAAGCGGGGTTTATCTACTAACACAGAACTCTCCAGATTCCGGTATTAATATTTTTGACTGTTTTCAAAACTACGTGAAGTGGCATGGGAAGACGACAGGGCGGTGAGCTGTTGGTCCGAATTGCAATTTACCCAACAGGCCTTTCCAACTAATGTGCAATTTGAACCAAGTTCTTTTTTATTACAATTCTTCTGATCGACTTGCACTTGGTAAGCCGGGCTAGGGAAATCGAACACAAACCCACAAATAGTTCATTTGGCGTTTGCGGCTTTGCTCAGACCACTAGCCTGCGTCGAGAGTCACGGTGTGTGCATTAGGAGAAAGCGCATTTTGGACTGGTACCGATATGATTCACGGATATTCAAGGACGTGTTAGTGCGAAGGAAGTGAACGCGCATGTAGGCAAGTCCCTGCATGCGTGATATGGACCTGAGTATCAGCAGTATTTTCGGACAATGAATCATCAGTTAAAGCAACGACGCGTCAGATAGCTTAAGTTTCATCCACTTAATTCCAAGAGGATGAATGTGTTGCTGGTGTTGCCGGTTGGTGCGGAGTTGTTGATCCGAATTCCAGGTGCAAAGTTGTCATTGATTTGGTCCCATGGCCCAGTGTTAGCCAATACACCTACTACATGTTTGTATTTGCATCGGCAAGTGTGTGGTCAATGCACGCTCTGCTATCCTCGACTAGAGTGGGGGAAGGGGCTCGTGTGGACTGACTTGGTGGTGGTGGTGGTGGTAGTAGTAGTAGTGGTGGCACAATGCGTCATCTTCTCGAAGAGCTAGTGTTAAAAGTACTGGGGAATTGTGGTATGGCCGGTCAATTCGGTTTTTAATGAGAACGTTGCAGCCTGGAGCAGATTTGTTTTTACAGAAAGGCGGTAGAACATCGTAGATGTCGTGTGACGATTTTATATTGGGTCACTTGTTGTGTAACCTGAAGAGTAGTCTCCTTTAAATGTCTTGTGCAACTTTTCGGTTGAAGATTTGTTTACGGACGTAGGACGAGATTTTCGTTTGTTTTGGGTTGCTGCCGTCGCTACGTGACTTCGACCGCGTTAATCTGTGTGCGGACGCAGGCCTCTGAGTGGACGCAAAAACCCAATAATCGCACCGCTGCCGGTGTTGGTGGCTTGACCTATTAATTGCTTTAATGTAGACTCGCACGTACACTGAGATTGCTAGCTCCGTTGGTTACTCCTCCTCGGTTTTAAGGTATACGGATCTGTCGGTGCACGAAGAAACTTATTACCGTAGAATTCACTAATACATATGCACCGTTTGATTGAATCAGTTCGTGCTCAATTCTATTCGAAGTTTTAGTTCGAGTCTTTCGGAACTGGAATCATTTTGTATCAGATCAGTGAAACAAACAATGTATGCCCAATCGAGTACTTGGTTGAAATTGGTCTCAAGTGCCATTTTCTTGATCATCATAAGCTTGTTGACCTTTTTGATCTAACCTTGTAGTACCCTGAATGCAAGCTATTCTAGTATGTTCGTCTACTTAATTACGTAATGTATGTTGGGTTGTTATGCGCTTTATTGACTTTGCGCCTCAGGCGTAATACTGATTACCCAATTTTCGTACGCGCGTACTTGGCTATTGAATCAAATGTAATGCCAGGTTCATGGCACGTGACTATTTGTGTGTCCGGGTATTTGAAGTGAGCTTAACCGTTGTTGTACAAAATGATGGGACATACAAAGGCTCCTTAACTATCTCCTAAGCACACCTTTATCAACGCGCTCTACTTTTGATGCCGAAAGCACTGGCATTTATTACGATTTGACAGCTGAAAATCCCATTCCTTTTCTTCCAGTTTGTTTAAAGCCAGCGCTGTCGCTTCCTAATTGCTCTACCACTTTACTCCTCATCTTACCACTAATCATTCTGGACAGACAGTCATTTTTTCTCCGTCTTCCACTCCTTCATGCGTCTTAAGTTAGCACAACTGCACGACTTCTCAAAGTCACCGAAGTTATTTCTCAACGTTACGATTTCCGGTTGAATACAACAAGGTTTTAATTAAAAAAAATAAAAAAATTATCAGTTTTTTTAAATTCCATGTTTAGGAGCTGTCCACTATTAATTTCAAAATTTACCTGGAGTTCTGTAGCAATATATCAGAAATGGCATTTATAAACTCCGTGTCCACTTTCATGGGGTATTGCCCAACTTCTCTATGGTTAGACGTTCGCTAACGTTGGTCGGTTTTGTTGCCTCTCTCTTTTCTTTACCACTAACTGCTTCCAAATTAATAATAATGTCCTATATTCGGGCGTCACCATCTTTGTCGGATTTTACTGGGCACATCAACGCTGTCTGCATGAACGAGCCTTCCCAATCGCGAATACCCTGTAATTCCTCGTGCGTAAATTCAATAACTCACTCGCTATTCACTCACTGGGCGTATATCCTCCATACCTGGCTTCGCTATGATTGATTCTTGGCGATAATGGTGCCAGATCAGTTCTAGCAGTCGAACGCCAAATCACTGAAATGTTACACGCCTTTTAAGTTCGGAAGTCATTTCCTGTATCACGATTCAACAGTTCACTTGATGGGTTTATGTATTTGCATCATTAAATACGACCGAAGAATCAATTGTCCGAACGCGAATACGATGCAAAACGTTCGCTTTTTTCGTCAATATTTTTTTTTCTTTACTTAATTTAAAAATGGCCATCTACGCTGTTCTTTATTAAAAACAAAGTACATTCGCGTTTGTGTTGGTGCCTTTTGTGATTATCTTTTTAAAGTACGTGATATTGCTTTGACTCATGATCCGTATATAAGTTCCTTACGAGATCGTCTTGTTATATAATTCACAGGCACCTGTTATTCGTCAATCATTAAGCCTCTCATTGAATATGACTAAGCCGGTTTGAACCGTATTTGCTTCTCCTTGGCAAGAATATAACAACTTCTAAGTAACTCCGTTTCAGTGTATGTCGGTGTGCGTGCACTCGTATTTATTCATGTTTATGAAATCACCTCAAAAGTAGTCACCAGTCGTTTATTTCGGAAATTTTTAGTTTTCTAACCGTTTCATATTTGAAATGTATCTTTTTTTGTTGGTGTTGGTCTAATCTAGGCGTTGAAGAGTTCTTCTAAGACTGCTTTTTTTGCTCCCAGCTTGGTTTTAACCGCTATTCTTTTCATATTTTAGGGCGACAATTATACCTTCATGGCTGCTTATCACATTGTCAATGGTGCTCCTCAATTACTTTCGCTCCCTTCGAAAAAAGGCGGGAAGGTTAGGAAGTTCTGCTCTTTATCTGTCCCGCCATTGACTACGAGATTTTTTTGATCACTTTTATGCCATTTGAGTGTAGATTCATGTTGGAATGGTCACTTATGGTTTCGGTTTTACAATATACTGCCTCGTAAACTTGTTGGCGCCAGTGTCGCCTGTCGAAGTAATTCAGATTTCAACAACGTTTTCAATGAGGGTTGGTTCTTGACCCATTAGATTTTACCTAGACGTTACTGTACCTGTACTGGTTTTAGTCCAGCAAGGATGGCTGTTTTAATCCCACAGTGCTTTGTTTCCTTGTGGCGGTTCCATTTCCATATTTCTGATTTTGTTTGCATTTAAGTAACTGCGTAGGAAGAAGAGAACATAAACCACATAAATAGTTCTATGTGTCAGAATCAAGTTTAGCTCATTATTAGAGTTTTTGCTCTTATCCGGAGGCTAAAATATTCCATCATGCAGTTATCAGTTTTCTCGTGCTTGTTGTTTGCACATCCGCAGGCTCCAAAGTCGATTGCTATAAACGCTTCGCAAACTCAAGGCCATAGCTATATAAAATACCTGAATTTGTATTCCTCATGGTCATAAACCCGATCCCTGACTCTCTGAAAATCTACATTTAGTTTCCGTTCGAGTTCACAATTCCAATAGCCGGTGAGCGCGATGAAGACGTTCAACTAACTTTCTTCGCCAAGTCAGAGGAACTTCGGAACGCTTGGATTAAAGCCATTGAAACGTCATTGTAAGTAATCATTCTCTTGATTCATTCTCACCTCGCCTTTAATGTACCTTTAAAGTTTATCATGAACTTGGACACCCATTTCTTACTGTCTTTGGTTTCAGTGCTGGAGATACTCAAAATATATCCTCCAACCTGGACAGAATTTCCCATTAAATTTGGTTTATGATCAGTGTTTGGAAGCCCTGTTGTCTGTACACCCTGAGATGTTGAGTACTTTTCAATTTATTTGTGGATTAGTGTTCTGTTTTCCTAAATACCTAGTTCGTTTTTTTAATTTTGTTACATCAAGACTTATTTCTCATTCTAAATGCCTGTTTTAGTGCCGGATCACTCAATCTACACTGACTCACAGATAGTAAACGGAGAGGCAAAACCTATCTCGTTTACATTTTGTTCGTCCTTTACGCATGATAATGTGACAAAAATTCCTTTATGAATGTAACTTTAACTTCCCCGCGGCTGTACCTATAATCTCAAGTTGTGGTTTTGGGTTATTAATAGACACTTGATCGAATATCAAAATGCAGCCATTATTTATTGGCTCTGTTGGTGATGCGTTGTAGGAGCAACCTGTTTCCCCCCGGAGCAAAGGATAATGGCTACCAATTCGAAATGGAGACTTTCAAGCAAACGACCTACTGTTGTATGTGCAAGAAGTTGCTTCAAGGTGTTTTCTATCAGGGTTACAAATGTAGAGGTAAGTGTAGTTCCTTGTCCCGTGTTCTATTTCAATCATTGGATTCATTTCTGTAAAATAACTTAGTTTATATACATCACCTTGACAGGCAAATTGGGTAGATTTGCAAACGTTTGTTTGCATTTGGTCGTTTTAAAAACTCATACATTGAACTTGTAATGACAGTTCCTTGCACACCGAAATTTCTGATTTGTTTCGTTTTCTGGTGTTTTCGGTCACTCTTGTCAACTTGTGGTAGTGCGCTGTGACTTTTGGTTTGGCTATAAGGTGTTCACGATTGAAGTAGTTTTCGTCATGAATGGTCGTCCATATGGCGTTGCTCACAAACTTTAGAAACCGGGCTGGCCGCACACAAAGCTTGTCTCGTGAATGTTCCAACCCTTCTTCCGCCACGAACCTCTTTTGTGTCGACTAATGGCGCGATCCCTCGTGGTAGCCGAGCCTCGAACTTGATTGGCGCAACTACTTTTCGACCGTCCGTTGTGGCTCCGCCACCGCCCCCTCCCCCACCACCCTCGACCTCCACAGGCCACCAGCACCGCGTGTCCCGAAATACCAGTTCCGTCTCAACCGACTCCGCAAACAGCTCTTCCATTCATCTCCGCCCCATTTCGAACTCTTTTGATGCAATAGGTGACGTCTTCCCTTCAAAGGTGACGAACCCAACTGTGGTAACTGCTGTGGCAGACTATTCAGGCGAGCCCCCACCCCCTGCTACACTCGGCGATGTGAAGAGGTCCAAGCCGCTCTCATTCTGTGTCGGTGACAAAATCACACTCACTCAACCATTCGATGGATCTAGGTGGCTTCAGGTGAGCTTTTGAAGGGTTTGCCACCCTTTCTGTATTTTGCTCTTTCCTACATTACTCACTATCAAATGATTGCTTCAGAAGGATTGTTGAGCTGCACTTTCATGGATGATGTTCTAAATTTGTTGAATATTGAATAAATAAATTCTTCTATGGTGTATTCGAGGCTAAGTCCACATCATTCTTATTTCTTATTTCAAACCTATTTTAATGGCATCAATCACAGAGTCGTTGATATGTCGCGTTTGCCCTCTACTTTGTTCCCCAACTTGGGTCAGAATTTAAGCAGCACTGTTGAACCGTATGTAGACTGTCGAAGCTCCTCCTCGGCGTTATGCGTTGTGGTGTTAAAGGTCACATTTTTTGACAGAGTTCACTTGCATGTTAAATTTTCACTGGCTGTCCATCAACGCTGCTTGCTCCTAAATTAAGCCATGCTACTCACCAGCTAAGGTCTGCACACGCGCACGTTCTCTGATGTTTCCCTGAAATAAACTACTGGTGACGCTATCCGCGGAATTATTCTCCGACTCGCATTGTTGCAGATTTTTTTCACCGCCGCCGCGTTCTTGTTTATTTAGTTGAAAATCCTTTCGCCGGCCCGACTGTTTATGTTACCGTTGCGGCCCCCAGCTTGGCCATTAGTGGTGTGTGTGGACGCCTGCATCGAGTCACTACATTGCCACTTTCCTCTACGAAACCGGTTTTTGTAAATTTTCCTTGAACCATAGAAGACAGTGGCGTCCTAATGGGAAAAGAACCTCCCTTTGTTTATTCTATTGTTCTTTTTCCCATTTCCCCCTAATTACCTATAAAGTGCTCTCTTGATCTTAGCTGAGTTGTAGTTTCCGGGCGGCCCTCAGTACTATCCATAGGAAATTCCTTATTCTCTTCTTATGAACGATTGGCAGCAAATGCAGGGCTTGCTTCTTGCCTCACACCGTGTCAATTTTCACCATTTTTGGGTTCTGGAACTTGTCGTTAGTGTACTTATTAATGAGGCTTTTTGACTAAAGCGCAGCCTGTTTGTTAACTTTCAGGTTGCTTTACACCATATCTGTCTAGTGCCAAGTTTCATTTTTAAGCTTTCTGGACCAATGCTAACGCGACGTTTTGACTTAGCACAGCCTTGTTGTTACTGTGATTTTCTATCGTAATATTCCTAGATTTTTTGTCTACCTTTGGAACTAGTGTGCTCACCGTATCAAGCGCTTGTATTTTTCGAGGGAAGGAAAAGTATGGTACTTTATCTGGGGTCTTATGGCAACAATTTGGTATCTTTTGCCTCGTATCTTGGTATGCCATAGGTTCCAATATTTCAGCTAAATTTTCAATGGAACTGACTTACTCTTTGTATGTTTATTTGTGGACGAATGAATCATACCAGTTCATGTTTTGTAGTACTTCGGAGCATAAAACATAATATACTTTATTGTTTTTTTCTAAACCACTTTGGATTTTTTAGTAGTGTTACTTCTCTTAAGGGCTATCTTTTCAGTTTGATCACATTTCAAGCTATGCCAGAGTTTATATTGGTTTGTTCTATGAGTGTTTTTATTCGTGAATGTTTTTTAACATAAACGTTCATATATGGTGTAGCGTGGAGGCAACTGAATCGTTTTCTTGCAATTTCAACTATGCTTAAATACGGTTGGTAAAAACCTGGATTTATTGCAGTTTTTCTTGCCGCAAATGCAAATGTTTACCTTCGGATAATCGAAAATTATTGTTTTTGGCTGCGTGGACTTAAGCATCTGTAAAAAGGACGTTATTTACCACTTTCATTGCTTCAAGTGACAGTTAGCCTGTCAAAACAAAGATAAATGGTAGCAGTTGGTGTTGTGTTCAAAAGCGATTAACTAGCTCCTGTTGTGTAACCAACGGCTTCGGCCATGTGATTACTAATTTCAAATGAATGGAAAATCTAGAAACGCGTTCGATTTTTGTTAGGCCTGTTGTTTGTATCAACTTTGCGTCAAAATTTTCATCGTTTCGGACAAAGTCATATGTTCTCAGTAATCCGCCAATGAACGACTTTTGTAAAACGTTTAATTTACGTCAACCACTTAGAATCTGTATAACATATGATCCTGTCTGGGATGCTTAGCAAATATGTTTTTCAGAAATCGCCTAGTTTCCTTTGGTGTTTTTATTTTCGTTACCGTGTTAAAGTATTTTAGCGGATGTTCAATCCGCTGTAACTTATTAAGAAGCGTTTCTGTGGTCTCGTTCAAAACTAATTACCTGTTTTAAAATCAAACGTTTCCTTGAATCTTATTTTATTTTTGCGATTTCTTAATAAATACCCCAAATTTGTGTAAATGTCAAGTTGATTCGTTCCTCTACCTAATTTTTCAAAAAAAAAAAAACAAAAGACCAACACGATATTTTAGATCCACTTTTACTGGGTGAGTTTCATCAGAGTCAGGACAATGGAACTCAAACAAAAAATCCACAAGCGGAGTTTATCTACCAACACAGAACTCTCCAGATTCCGGTATTAATATTTTTGACTGTTTTCAAAACCACGTGAAGTGGCATGGGAAGACGACAGGGCAGTGAGCTGTTGGTCCGATTTGCAATTTACCCAACAGGCCTTTCCAACTAATGTGCAATTTGAACCAAGTTCTTTTTTATTACAATTCTTCTGATCGAC